GGTTAATCAGCCAAGCCTCTGGTTGTTCCTTCTTCCACCCTAACATGCAAAAATCTACTCATCCCAAAGGCCATGCATCTCAGAATTGTGGGTGCATAAACACTTCCAATTAAATAAGCAACCCACACATGCAATGTTTCCGGGTTTGTTTTTCCTCACCAGGGTCCTGCTTAAAGTATGCTGCCCTTCTACATAAGGGTAATAATTAGGTCTCTGATGTTAATGTGGAAAGTCTTGCTATTTATATAAGCATTTAAACTCACCATGGGGGGGGGAGCCTCACTGTAAAAAGAGACTGTTAGTTTAATTTTCCATTCTTCACCAAGGTTTCACTGTGCCCAGTTATGGGATTGTCACTGGCAAGAACTTGCAGAACTCCCATTTACAACATGTGTGTTCTTTGAAGCACTACTCTGTATTTGGATTGTATTTCTGGGGGGTTTCTGCTGAAGGCAGTAAGTGAGGATATAAAGGTTATTACTCCTCTTATTTCCAAAAGAGAATCTTGGCTGTTATCAAATCACAGGTTTGGTCCCAAATTATTTTGGTTAACTTTTAGCCTTAATATCTGTCCTCTGGGACCCACTATGGGTCCTACTATGGGTCAATACTGTAAATTCTCAGCCACATTCACCATCACTGCCCTGCTAGTTAAATGGAGATAAAAAGGAATGTTAAATATTCAGGGAAAAAGGGGTTTAGATTCTTAGATGAAGTAGAAAAACTTACCTAAGGTCCAACCCACTGAATATCAGAGACTTCTCACATTCCTGAACAAAGTTCCTGAGAACTTTTACACTTTGGAGTTTGGGATCTAGTTATCAGTGAAGTATGAAAAATTCTGAACTACAACTAAGAGATCACGCTCAAGTAGATTTTATCAGAAGAGGGGCCAAGATAAATACGTGCTTTCACAAAAAGTGCCTGGGAAGGTATTACTCCCAGTTCCCCATAAATTTCAATACTAACACCCCCACCCATAGCCCAATACACCTACTTCACAAGTTCAAACCACTGTTAATTTCTTTCTACGTCTTGTCCCCACTATTCCTCTCACGCTCTCAGAATGGAAATAAACGCATCCTCAGAAGCTGAACACCATGTTCCCACAAGGCGTTAAATAAATAGCCTTTTTTTCCTCCCTGTTTGAAGTCACTTGTCATTTGTTGTTGGTGAAAAGTGTTGGTGAGGCAAGCAAACCAGGAGGAAAAAAAAATGGGGGAAGGAAGAGGGTTTTTGTAAAAGCTCATGCAACCGTATTAGGGAGCGACATGAGCAAATCAGTATTACTGATGATTCATGGTCACATTTCTCCACTCTCTGCTTTGTTTGGTTTTAAAATTTATCACTCCTCTGCCTTCCATAGGGCTCTGGAATGTTCACATGTATCACTAATATTCCCATTTCTGTTCCTTATGTCTCATTTAATGTACCATAGGTAGTCATGTTTTCCCCATCCTATAAAGTCCTAACTTTTTTCTGCAGGATAAGAGGAAGCAAGAGGTAACTGATAATCACTAAGACTATGGCACTACAGATTGGGGCTTCTAGTAGGTGAAATTGCATTTCCCTGGAAGATTAACTGGCAAGCAGTAAAAGTCTTTGGAATGCGCCCTCTTGTGGCCAATAGTTTCCCGTTATTCAGAGAAGTGTGTTAACTCCTAAATACATCCCTTTAGCCAGGAGCAATTCACAGAGAAATACAGAAGACTGGCATGGAATGTAGGAGTCAACTCCACTGTGAGTTGCTTTCTTGAGGTGGGGGAAAAGAATCTTCCAAGCAAAACTTCTCAGACCTCGATTTGGGGACTGCAAATTTCTAACTCAAATATTCTGTAAATAGTATTCTCCAAAACAGAAGATATATGTGGTGTTGCTTTCACCAACACCTGGACTCTAAGCATTTTCCATATCTTAGTGTTTTATTTGTCTTTCTTTCCCTTCTCTTTGTTTAACAAGTATGATCAGTTGCTAAGTTAATTACTAGAATCAGCATATAAATTTGGCAGCATATATAATGTTGGAGACGAAACATTATATTGTTATTCTACATTAACTGGCTAGCTATTGTCATTAACAAAAATAAGGTAAAATATGATACAGCAGCCAATAAGGCCACTGACAATTGGCAATTATAGTAATAGTTGGCTTGGGTTTGCCCATCCCTTCTGCCTTTCTTTTAAAGAGAAGCCGTCTCTTTAAGATCTTAAGGTAAACACTAAGGATTCTGACACAGCTGAGCAAAGATCACACTAACCTTGGTGAGTAATCTTGGGTGACATATATAAAAAGAAAAGTATTTTTATTTACTGAAAGAAGTGTCAGAGAGCCTTGTAGGATTCATCTCTTACTGCATAATAACTCACATTAGCTTAAAAGGATGGGGCACTTTCTACCTGAGCTCAGTGGGACAAATTCAGGTAAAAGAGTTCTAAGCATATTAGCTTTGTAGGCATATTAGTTTTGTAGTCTGTCAGTTGGGGTTACCATATCTTACCTTTATTAAACGATCAAAGAGAGAAGAGGCAAAAATTAAACATGTATCCCGAACTGAGGAATCTTGTAGTCAATTGAGTATGTGTCTATGGCCAGGACAGGGGTGATACTTTTTATTAACTCGATACTATGCTGTACAAAATAGTTTATAAAGAAGGGAAAAGTACATATCCTTCCTATTCTCTGAAATTCTTGATATTCTGCAGAGTTGGAATTTTACTAAAATTGAATTATTCCAATAGCCACCAAGACAGATCTTTGCTATTCATTTTCATATGTTCACTACAATCTTTCAAATGATAAATATATTTCTTGGGTAGCAAAATCTGCATCAAAAGGCCCACATGGTACTCTATAGGGAGAATAGATTGTCTACCATATATAAAATCATTATACCTATGAAATCAACTTGAAGTTGATATGTGGAACTTCTTAGATGAGAAAAATAAACAAATATATTAAACTTCCTCTAAGAATCCAGTAACTTACCTAAAGTCAGGCTGAAAACTCATCCAGAAGGAGTTTTCCATTACAGACCTTAAAATTTAGTCAACATTTAAATCAAATGAAATCATCTTAAAATAATAGCTTATTTCTTGCCAATTAAACACCTTACAGAAAAGTAAAAAGGATAAGACTTCATGTAACTGGGAAAAAATATTGGCACTGAGATGAAGGCTATAGTAAAGAAGGAATGGAAATGGTCAAATTCTTTCCCTGCAAAAGTCCCTTAGTGCCAAGAGAGTATTTACTATGAATGTCCAATAAGTCAGAAAGTGGGGGCACATTGCTAGCATCAGATATATAGTTAAAGGACTGACTAGCAGGTTCATGGTTGAAGGCATGGGTACACTTTGTCATGTCATAGAATAATGTTAAAGTCAATGGAAAGGGCACTTGCAATTGAGGCCATTATGAATGGCACTCAGTATATAAAATCATATAGAGGGAGCCCTTTGTGTCAGTCTATGGAGATCCCCCTTAAACCATTGGAATCGATTCTATACACAGGGCCCAATGCATAAGTGTTTTCTTTCCTACTTTACAACCACTAAAAGTTGAAGAAAATTGAGTGGCCCCTTGAAAACTCCAACCTGACTTTTTCCCTAAAAAAGCTTCAAAAGATAAAGTCATATTTACTATGTTCTTGTAAGCTGCATCAAGGAAAAGCTTTAGGGAAAGTAAGACATCCCTAAAAGAGAGGAGCTTCTGGGGAGAGGTTTACTGCCCTGGAAGTTTGAGGGACATTAGGATTTCTCAAGGTAGATATCATGAAGCCAGCAGGCTACCTGCTCCCCAACAAGAATGTCCAAGTCTTGCATGGCTTTCTTAAAAAAAGAACATCTGACTCAACAGGTTTTCAGGGTTGGAAATTCTGAGTGTTGCCTTAATTGTTTATACTACAGCGGCAAACTTTTAAACAAAAATGCTGGGAGTCCCTACACATACTTTACTGGCCATATGCTCTACCAAACAAAACAATGGCATTCCTTTCAAAGGGATTTGGCAAAGGGTGCAATTGTGGAGCCTGGCATTACCACAAAAGTAACATGGCATTAACACGTGTGTATGCCCGGGCATGCATAGGCTTGCAGGCAGGCAAAAGGATCCATGCCACATAACTGTCCAAATAGCCTGATTCCATACTTTCAACAGATATTTTCTATTCAGTAACAGGTTAATGTGTTCCTGGGCCAGAGATTAGGATTTATTTATTAAAGTTCTTCCTCTTAAGGACTGAGTGAGAGTTCAGCGCAGTATCTTAGAGTACTTTGTCAAGGTTGCATTCTTTGGCAGAGAGCTCTCAGTAACTTTACAGAGAACAAAACTATTTATTATTTATTTATTTATTTATTTATTTTGGTTCAGCCAGTATTCCAAAAGCAACTGCTGATTCAGTGTCAACTGCCCACCCCAACAACTCTTTCTTGCCTCCAATGGGGTGCCTATGCAACTGTAGATAGTTTCTAAAGGTAAAAATGATTCTCACTAATAAATATCCCCCGCTTCTCCCCTGATTGGACTTTTAAAGGGGAAGGGTTGTTTTAAGACCATGACTTCATCTATGCCATTCCACCCTTTCACTCTACTCTCACCCCCCCCCCCCATAAAAACTTTGGATGGGCTTCGGAAGCCTCCTCTGCTCCCATGCACCTGAAAATGCCCCGGCTTCCATCTGGCTTGGTTCAGATCTGGTTTTACAGGCAGGACGCAAGAGCCCCTAGCAGATCGGCTTCCAGCAGGGTTGGCCCCAGAGCTTTCTCCCGGGGTGACCGGCTGAGTTTAGCAAGTGTAAGCAAGTCGCCTCCAGCCAGAGCTCGACCTACAAGAATTCTTTCTGCGGAGCTCTCTCGCCTCCCTGACGCCCCTCTGTCCGCTCCCGGCACCAAATTACTAGTAACCTCGCCAAGCAGTTTCCAGCCTGAGGGAGAAGTTCCTCCCGGGACTGTCAAAGACAGACCTTCAATCCTTTTTCCTCCCCCCTCGAAGCTGCCAGCACCCACCTGATTCCGCGAACGTGATGATCTCGGAGGTCTGCTCCAGGAGTTCATTCATTTCAGCCCTCCGCCCGATGTCGTCCTCGATCTCCACGTACCCGTTCTCCCCCACTTTGCCCACATGAAGCTTCCTGATGGCGTTCAGAAGCGCCGCCTTGGGCACCGGCTGGGTGACTTCGGGTCTCTTCTTCAAATGCAGCATGTTTAAAATGTGCCTCTTGACGGCCTCTACCATCTCCGGCTGAGAGTTGGGTACATCCTTGGGGAGGGTGGCCAGGGCACAGGCCGGGCAGTCAGGGTCTGCACTGTGCCCCTCGGATCCCGGGGTAGGGGAACTCCTCACTATAATCCAGCAACTCGCCAACAAAAATCCTCTCAGCCAAAGCCAGGGCATCCTGGCAGCAAAAGTTGTTGTGATTGCCTTTTTCAAAGGCCCTGCTTTTCCTCCCCCCTCAAGCACAGGTTTTGTGTGTGTGTGTGTGTGTGTGTGTGTGTGGTTTTTCTTTTTTTTTTCCTTTT